ACCAGAATGCCAGTAATGGTGGCCCAGGCAGCAGCCAGAGTAGCGCTGACCAGCACGGCCATGGCAGCAGCACAACTGACCAAACCAACGGAGCAAGTGGTGCCACTGGTAGCCAGCCCAACACCCAGAGCAGCACCCCCAGTAACGGCAACCAGAACAGCAGCAACGGGAAAAACGGTGACAACCAGGACCAGAGCAGCAACAACGGGCAACAGGGCAACAACGAGGAGACCAGCAACGAGAACAATGGTGGCAACACCAGCCAGGGTGAAAATGAGAACAAGGACAAGAACAAGGACGAGAGCCAGGGCGGCGACACCAGCACCGGCCAGGGCGGCGGCACCGGCGCCACACAGGACGACACCAACAACAACCAGGGCCAAGGCCACAATACCTGGTGCAATGATGCAAACCAGGGCAACAGCCAGGACGGCGATGGCACAAACCAGGGCAATGACCAGGACAGCAACGGCACAAACCAGGGCAACAACCAGGACGGCGATGGCACAAACCAGGGCAACGACCAGGGCACCGACACCGAGAACCAGGACAGTGACACCAAGAAGCAGGGCACCGACACCGAGAACCAGTCCAAGGAGGATAACCAAATAGACTCATCAAGGAACACAAACCCACCACCACGCTCGACTTCCCTCGCTGCCGAGGATGACAACTCTGTAGAGGACGGAGAAAACACCGGCGAGGAAGAGGCTGAGGCTGAAGAAGGCAGCGACACCTCCTCCTTCAAGGAGGAAAGAGAGAAGAGCGTTCCCTCCGTGCCGCGGGCGCCGGCGGAGAGCAGCCACTTCTTCGCCTACCTGGTGACCACGGCCATGGTCGTGGCCGCCCTGTACGTGGCGTACCACAACAAGCGCAAGGTGGGTGGCCGTGGAGCGTCTGTTTCGGGTCAGGATCCGTGCGCCCGCAGACCTTTCCCCTTGCTTTGGCTTCTGGTTTCCCACCAGTCCCTCCCCAGGGTTTGGTTTGTGGGTTTGAGCCGTGGTCCGGCAGCTTTGGGAAGAGTGGAGGGGGGGTTGGAGCTCGGAAAGGGGTGGGATCTCCATGGAAATCGAGCTCTGGGGGTTATTTTCAGCTGAGAGAGGCAAAAAGGAGATGCTGTGTGACGTTGCCCTGTGTTTTCTCGCTCAGGATGAGTTTTCCAGAGCAGGTTGCAGGAGATTTGTCCCTAAAGAGTCTTGCACGGGGACGTGCTGCTCAAACCACGTCACTGTCTCTTGTTGTTTTTTTTTTTTTAAAAGTAACGCTATTTTTGAGGCAGGAGAAAGAAAACAAACTCCTGCATGTCAGGCAAACCTTGTCATCACCTGCTTTCAGTCTTAGCTGGGTTTAAATATTGAGATTTGTTTGTCTGGAGCGCTTTTCAGACGCAGCGTGGGCACTGGGAGGGGGGGAGTGGAGCTGGTCTGTGTTTGAGGTGAAAAAAAGCGTATTTGGTCGTTACCATCCCGCTCACTTTGTCCCCATTCCTCTCTCCAAAGATCATTGCGTTTGCTCTGGAAGGAAAAAGATCGAGAAGTGGTCGGCGGCCCAAATCTGGCGATTACCAGCGACTGGATCAAAAGGTGGGATCCACCCGGAGCGGGGCGGGCTGGGAGAGGGACCAGTCTGTGCTGAAAATGTGATATTTTGGCTGAAACGGTCACCGAGCCCCTGCTTGGTTGGTGTTAGAAAGCAGATTTCGTAGCAAACCCCCTGCAAGAGCACACCAAGAGGTGTGGAAACAGGGTTTTGCCGGAAAACGGGAGCGATAAGGGGGGGAAATGGTGGCAGAGGGACCTAACGGCGTGGAAGTTTGTGAGTCCGGAGCTCGGGAGTGCCTAAAAATAGTTTGTCCGTGACTCAGATGACGCTCCTGAAGAAGTTCTTAGCAGGGAAGGGCAGGATTCGGGGAGAATTCCCTTTCCTCTTCCCCTTGAACCTTCTTTCACCTCTTGGCCTTGGAGCCGGATGTGTCCGTGGCAACTTTCTGCGACGGGAAGAGGAGACAGGGAAGGAGAATTTTTCAAAGTTGGGAAAGTTTGGCTGAAAAAAACCCCAGTTCTCTCCCTTCCCGAATCGTTTCAAAGTGTTGAACCCTTGCTTTTTGCCTTTCCAGATCTAGATTCCTGCTCGGGTGTTCGGTGGGATAACGGCGGCCGGTGGGGGAACCGCAGGAACGCCGGGACACCCACCGACTCCCGGAGCTGTGGCTGCCGCCTGCAGATTTCGGACGACAGGAGGAAGAGGAGGAAACGCTTTTTGTTTTGCACCTGCGCCCTGGTGGGGCTGAAACCTCCTCTCCCTTGTTCCAAACGCGCTTCTCCTTTCCCAGCTGCCTGAAGACGAACTGGTTTTCCGCCTGGGCGCCTGGCTTCGAGCCCGGGACCCGGGAAAAGCCGCTCCCCAGCACTCGACAAGGACTTTTGTGTCCAAACGAAACGGAATTTGCCACCTACTGTACTGACGTCTCCTCTCGAGGTTGGGGGGGGGAATCAAAAAA